GTCTTTTCTTTCTTCTTCTTTTATATCCTTGTTTTGTCTCCTTTCTTTCTCTTCGTCCCTTTCCTGTTTCCTTCTTGTTTATTTTGTCTCCTTTCTGCCTCCGTTTTGTCTCCTTTCTCTCTGTCTCTCTCTCTCCTCGTCTTTTTTTGTCTCTTTTCTGTCTCTGTCTTCATCGATTTATTTTGTCTCTTTTTTGTTTATTTTGTCTCCTTTCTCTCTGTCTTCATCCGCTTATGTTGTCCCCTTCTTGTTTAATTTGTTTCCTTTTTCTCTGTCTCCATCCCTTTGTTTTGTCTCTCTTTCTCCTCGCCTTCACACTTCTATTTTGTCTCGTTTGTCTTCGTCTCTCTGTCTCGTCTCTCTCTTTCTCTCTTTGTCTTTTTATTTTGTCTCCTCTCTGTCTCTGTCTCTCTTTCTCTCCTTGTCTTTTTATTTTGTCTCCTTTCTGTCTTTGTGTCTCTCTCTTTCTCTCCTCATCTTTTATTCTGTCTCCTTTCTGTCTCTTTCTATCTTTGTCTCCTTGTCTTTTTATTTTGTTTCTTTTCTGTCTTTGTCTCTGCTGTGGGGTTTGCAGTCGGCGATGCGAATGTTTGAGCAGACGGTCATGTTTGGAGGTTAGTCCCTTTCTCCTCATCTGTCTCCTTTTCTTCTGTCTCCTTTTTTTTATTTTCTTCTCTCATCATCTGTCTCCTTTTCTTCTGTCTCCTTTTTATTTTCTTCTGTCTCCTCTTTTTATTATTTTCTTCTGCCTCCCTCTCTTAGTATTTTATTCTGTCTCATCATCTGTCTCCTTTTCTTCTGTCTCCTTTTTTTTCATTTTCTTCTCTCCCTTTCTTAACATTTTCTTCTGTCTCCTTTTTTTTTCTTTTGTCTCCTCTTTTATTTCCTTTTGTCTCTTCTGTGGCATCTCTTTGCCTGCACTAGAGGTCTCCTTTTCTCCTGTCTCCCCTTAGTATTTTCTTTTTTTTTCATTTTGTGTTGCTGTCTCTTTCTCTGTATCTTTTCTTCTGTCTCCCCCTCTACATATCTTCTTCGTCTATATAGGCTGTCTCCTTTTCTTGTATCTTTATCTCCGCCGTCTTCTCTTTATTTACATTTTCTGTCTCCCTTTTTGCATCTTTTCTTTCTCTACATGAGCTGTCTCCTCTCTCGGTCCCCCTGCAAGGATACCAACGAGAGAAAGGAGACAGTGAATCCCAGCAGCAGCAGCAGCAGGAGCAGCAGCAGCAGCAGCAGCAGCAGGAGACACTCAGAGAAAAGGAGACAGTTGCTGTTGCATGCGCTGCAGGCACCATGGAGGTCACTCGTCCCCTCTACTTTGAAAACGGCATGCTTCTGGACCCCCCCCAAATGAGGACTTTCCTCGTCACCTGTGATCCGGTCTGCTAAACCCTAAACCCTAAACCCTAAACCCTAAACCCTAGATCCTAAACCCTAGATTCTCTGGTGGGGGAGATTAAACCCTCCTTTTGTGTTTCTACAACGCTTTAGGGTTTGGGGCGTTGTCTCAAGCGGCATCTGCGGTGTAAGTAAGGACTGAAGAACCCATTGGCTTAGGGTTTAGGGTTTAGGGTTTAGGGTTTAGGGTTTGCTGTGAACTTGTGCAGAAACAGCCCCTGGTACCTACCGAGTCTATCTTCCCTTATCAACGATCCGTGCGAGTATGTACATACACCCCAAACCCTTTCTCATTCTCCAGATGCAGCTCCTCTCTCCTCCTCCTTTCCCTGTATCTAGGGTTTAGGGTTTAGGGTTTAGGGTTTAGGGTTTGTGGGGCGCGCAGGAGGAAGTTGCCGCCGTG